AATAGAGAATAAAATGGGGCCTAAAATAGAACCTTGCGGCACACCACAGGTGATGGGGGCTGTTGAGGAGGTAAAATCACCCATGGTGACCGCAAAGGTTCTTTCTAAAAGATAAGAATGAAACCAACCAAGTGCAGTATCTCTGATGCCAACCCACGTTTTGAGGCGATCCAATAAAATATCGTGGTCTATAGTGTCGAAGGCAGAGCTTAAATCTAAAAGAATTAAAATAGAGCACTCTCCGCTGTCCGTGGTTAAAAGAAGGTCATTTAAAACTCTAAGGAGAGCTGTCTCAGTACTGTGTTGTGCTTTAAAACCGGATTGGAATTTCTCAAAGATGTGGTTATTGTTAATAAAATCTAAAATCTGAATAGAAACAATTTTCTCTAAAACCTTAGATAAAAACGGGAGTTTAGAAATGGGTCTAAAATTGTTAAAATCTGTAGTGCTTAAATTAGGCTTCTTTAAAAGTGGTTGGACCACAGCATGTTTAAAACTGGATGGGACAAGACCTTGATCCAGGGACTGATTAAGGATTGATAAAATGGAGGGTCCAACCACATTAAAAACATCTTTGAGAAATTTGGTGGGGATGACATCGAGGCTGCACGTGGTTGGTTTCATGCGGAATAAAATGTCAGATAAAAGAGAAAGGGATAAAGGCATAAAATTTGTAAAACAACTAAAATCCAGAGTTTCTCTATTTAAAACAGTGGCTTGGCTAGGAGCAGATATTTGGGTCCGGATATCTGTTATCTTTTGAATAAAATGGTTTAAAAATAATTCACACTGTTCAGTGGATGAATCACTAAAAACACAGGGACTGGGATTTATAATAGAGTTTAAGACTTTAAATAAAACTCTGGGATTCGATTTGTTTTGGGTGATAGTGTTTGAATAAAATAAAGTTCTTGCTTCCTTGACTACGTGTTGATATTGTTTGAGACTGTCTTTCCAGGCGAGGTGAAATGCTGTAAGGTGTGATTTTTTCCATTTCCGTTCGAGCTGTCTGCATGACTGTAAGAGCTTTCGAGTGTTTTCATTGAGCCATGGTTGTGGTGTTCTGGTGGGGTTTCTTTGTTTGAAAGGTGCAATCGTGTCTAAAATCCTATGTGATGTTTGATAAAAGGAGGAGACCTGCTCCTCCAGGCTAAAATGTTGGTTAAAAGTAGTCAAGGAGGCTGCAGTAAAAAGTTGGGAAAATTTAAGAGCAGAGGTGGAGTTAAAAACACGAGAGTGATAAAATGACCCATTGGAGGCAGACTGAGGGGCTAAAATAACGTCGAATAAAATAGCTAAGTGGTCCGACACACAGATATCCTTGGTGATGACATTTCCTGCGCTGAGACCAAACGTTAAAACCAGGTCCAGTGTATGGCCCTTAGAATGGGTCGGAGCATTTATAATTTGAAGAAGATTAAAAGACTCAATTAGATCAATAAAATCAGAGGTTAAAGGGTGTGGTTTATGTGGGCAGCAGACATGAATGTTAAAATCACCTAAGATTAAAACTTTGTTGTGGAGGGCCATACACTGGGATAAAAGATCAGAGAATTCTTGAATAAAAACAGTGCTGGGTTTAGGGGGTCTATAAATAATTAAAACAAACACTGGGGTTTTACATGAAATGATAAGAGACAGGTGTTCAAATGAAGTAAAAACATTTTGTGATCCGGGAGTGCATTTAAAAGTGTTCTTGAAGATGGCTGCAACCCCCCCTCCCTTACCGCAGAGTCTTGGTTGGTGGAGGAAGGTGTAGTCCGGGGGGGTCGCTTCAATGAGGGGGGTGCAGTCGCCTTGCACTTGCCATGTTTCTGTTAAAATCATGAAGTCCAGGTTGTTGTATGTGATGAAGTCCTGACAGATGAAGGATTTATTGTTGATGGATCTGATGTTTAGAAGTCCAAAGATTGTAGGTGCAGGGTCCGGAGTGAGGGCTGTAGAGGAGCAAAGGGGAACCGGGATGAGACAGGGGAGGGAGAGTTCCCTGGAGGAGGTCCTGTGGGGTCGGGGTCTGGAGATGACAGGGATTGACTGAGGGGAAGAGCAGGGGCTGGGTCGATGACAAGGGGGGAGAGGAGGTAATGCGGAGGGTGAAGAGGCAGATAGTCAGATGAAGGTGGTGTGGGACTGTACTGAGTGGATGATGTTGGATGTGAGGAAACGATTACCAAGGGGGTTGATATGGAGTCCATCGGGTCTGAAGAAGGAGGAGCGGTGCCAGAATAAATTAAAATTGTCAATAAAACCAAAATTGTGGAGGGTTGAAGAAAATTTGAGCCAGGTGTGTAGAGCTAATAACCTGCTAAAACGTTCCTCCCCTCGGTTTAGAGTGGGTAGGGGGCCGGAGATAAAAACAGATTTTCCTGAACTTGATAAAAGATTAAAAAGATCTTTAAAATGGAGCTTTGTGGTTTCTGACTGGCGGGATGAAGCGTCATTGGAACCGATGTGAATGATAAGACGGGTTATTGTAGATGGGGCGTTTTTAAGCAGTCCAGGTATTTTGTCCAGCAGCGTGGTGACGGTGGCTCCAGGGAAACAGTGAGTGGAAGCATTAAAAAATCTGCAGCGTTTGATAATTGAGTCACCCACCAGAAGAGTTGTGGGTGCAAACAGAGGTCGTGGGGAGGGTGTTATGACTGGCGCTGGAGTGGCTGTGATGGGAGGAGAGGGGCGCTGAGGTGGGTCTGGAGCGGGCTGGGAGAGGCCAGGAGCGCGTGAGCAGGTGCCGTGAGGGAAGAGCAGAGGGTTGATCCGTTGTCCAAAAACGCTTAAGTTTGAACAAGTTTGTTTCCTTTTTTAGACTTGACTGTAACAGGGAGTATGGAAAGTTTACCACAAACACCGGCCCCGGTATGTCTCACACATGACTGAGACGTGGCTGTGGTGTTTGCAGTTGTACATGGTTGAATGACATTTGTGCTTACAGCTTTGTCAACCCTTGTTACAGTGTGTAGAGCAGTAGGATGGCTCATCTTGCATTTGCTGCAAGACATGGGTTTATTGCATTGTTTGGCAAAATGACCCAGTCTCAAACATTTAAAACAAGCACCCTTTTCTTTCAGAAAACTTATTTTGTCCCGATGTTGCTTTTCGTTGAACTGTCGACAGCTGTTGAGCGTATGAGTTTGTGAACAAAACAAACATGTGAATGTGTTTGCATTGCTTTCTTTGGCTCTTTCACTTCTGTCTTTCACTTGAGAATTAGTTTGACACACATTGACTGCAAAGTTGTCATGCCTTGGCTTTGGTTTAAACAGTTCTGTTGGTTTTACAGGCTTAGTACGGTCCACATTTAGCGTTTGTATGTCACCAAAAATTGGATCCGAAATTATTCTTAGTTGCCTTTCAACAAACTTCACAATGTCGTTAAAGTTTGGTCTGCGGTGGTGAGCTTCTTGTATTTCACACGCAACATTCCTGAATTGTTCCTTCATTTTATATGGAAGTTTTGAAATGACATTTTTCATGTTTGATGACATGTTCAGTTCATTAAGGTTTGTGAGATCAGACATTGCATTGCTGCACCCACGAAGAAATAATGCGTAGTCTCGTAAGAGAGACACATTTTCAACTTTGATGACTGGCCAGGTAAGTACTTTGTGCATGTATGCGTTTGTGAGTCTCGTTTCATTTCCAAAATGTTCACTTAATAATGTTTTTGCTTTTTCAAAGCCAGCTTCAGGAGCCATATGTACACAAGACTGAATCAGCTCCTTAGGACGCCCCCTTGTGTACCTTTCCAAAAAGTACAGACAGTCACCTTTGTTTGCACATTTGTCCTCCACACAATGTTTAAACGCTTGGATGAATACTGTGAACTTGAGTGGATCTCCGTCAAAAATTGGGATATCCCTGGCTGGAAGCTGTGCAGCATTTTGTTGTTTTATTAGCAGATCTGTAATGTCATTTTGTTTTTGGAGAAATTGAACCAGCAAACTGTTATTTTGCTCTGGTATTTGTGCTGGCCAGTATGTGGGTAGTTTCTGAGTCTCTTGAATGTTTGGCTGGACAGTAGGAACAAAAGTTCTTGTTTGTAGAGTTTTTGGTTTGGTTGCAGGAAGTATTTCAGCCTGTACAGGTTTCGGTTCAGTGATGGGACTGGTGATGTTCTTTGAAAGGTAGGAGTTCATGCCGTCGCTGTATTGCTCCAAGACCGCAAGTTCAGCATCAGCCGCTTTAATTTCAGCCTCCAATTCTATAGTTTCAATTTTCTTTCGTATTTCCTCCTGTTGCACTTCCCACTCCTGTTTTTGCTGCATTGCCATTTGTTGCAGTTTGTGTTTTTCTTGTAAGGCAGCTTCTTTGGCAATTAAGGCTGCTTTTTTGGCCTCTGCTTGGGCTCTTAACGTTGATGATCTGGTGGAGTGATTTGACTTGGAGGATTTGAATGACACATTCGATGCACTGTCACCTGCTTTTATGTCATCTGCAATTTTAAGCTCAAGCTCATTTTCAACACTCTTCAAATACTCTGTCACAGACTCCACACAGTCAGTAACACTGAGAAGTTTTGCTTTAAACCACACTTCATTTTTTTCTTTATCAGAAGCAGGTAAAAACTCTAACAAACATTCATGTACATCTTTGGCATCATTAACAAGAATTTCGTACTGAGAAAATATACCTTTGACTTCCTCATATGACCCATTGTCACACATCAATTTATATATATGTTCTTTAACATTAGCAGCTTTATTCAACAGAGATTTCCTTCTTTTTTCCAGTTCAGTAATTTTGGCAAGAAGTGCCTTTTCTGTTATTTTAACCACTCTTTTACCTTCAACAACCTCCTCCGTTTTTCTCTTAACCATAGTAAGTGGCTTTTCACACACGACGTTGCAATCGTCAAATAAACGTGGCAAACCAATGTCACTCATTTTGCAATCAAACTCAAATACTGTATATAGTTCAAAAATGCAGATATTGAAACAAAATGCAGGTATACTTTATAAATCAGTCTTTACTTTAACAGTTCAGTTCAGTTTTCTTCACCAATGCGCATTGGAATTACGTAAGCTTATTTACTCAAGTGGTTTAGTTCGTGTGCACACATTTCATTTAATGGCCATTTATTTTATAACCGTATCTCTACTAGTACCTCAAATGTGAAGAACTTTGCATGGGCTAATGCAGGCGGCAGGCCAGACGCGCCCGCATGGCTCCACAGCCGCTCCCCCACTCCTGCCCCGTTCGCCGAGCTCCGTAGTCCACGAGATCCAACACCGTGGCTCCGCCGCTCCGTGATCCGTCTACAGCGAAACCCAGCTCCGCCGTGGCTCCGCCTCTCTCTGCGTCTCCTCTCCGTGCACCAGTAGACCCAGTCTGTTCCGGTGATTCCGCTGCACCTCTGCTGCGCCAAGCCCACCTCGGTCAATCCGCTCCGTGGCTCCGGTAAGACCCAGTCCCCCAGCGTTTCACCACGAGCTCCTGACACATCACGCCCGGTAGCTTCCAGGTCGCGTAGGCTCTTAGCACCCAGTGCTTACTCTGCCAGGTGGTCCTCAGCGTTGGCAGCGGTAGGCGAATGCAGTTACTTCTCCAACATCACGATGAGAGATGGTTTTGACATAATGTTGTGGCGCATTTAAAAGTTGGATGAACGCGTGCTTCGCTATGTGCAGGATGAATTATTGTGAGTAGAAATAATGTACCAGAGTATTGCAGATGTCCAGTCGGATATGCCAATCCATTTATTTTTGTTGAGAAGGATTATGATGATGATATTTACAGCTTTTTGGTTATTGTTTTAACACAAACGAAAAACATGCACGGTCACGAGCACGGTCAAAACCATTTGCCTCCTTAGCACCACCCCTGGCACTAGATTGGCTCACCTTTTATGCCTTTTTGGTAGATCCACTCCCAGAGCGCCCTCTACCTGTATTGGCTCCAACAGAATGTGTTTGCCAAGATGATTACTTGTCGGTTTTGTATTGATCAGAAAGGGAAAAGGCTCCTGCGCTACATGAACACTGTGTGCAAATACAAATGTAAAAGGTTCCTTGAGGATCTGTATAAAGGAAGTATAAAGTCTTGAGAGGACACAAAAGACAGGGTGCTTCTGCTGTCCTACTTGGAGGAGAGAGAGTCATGCCTGGCAGGAGAAGTGCCAATGGAGCAAGTTCCAATGACTCCTACCATCATTGTGTGTGTGGTGAGAACTTTCTTTTATTCTTTTGCTTTAATTTGTCCATTCTTTGAACCCATTTCTATATTGATGCTAAGGAGTTAATGCTCTGCCTGGTGAAATGTAATTTTACTTGTATTTAACTCGTTTTGTTTCTCCTTGAAGGACAATCCTGTTAATCTGCGAACCGGTTTATGCTGAGTGTGGATCGTATGATTGTCCAGGACAACGTTGGCTCCTTTGTGTCGGCCATTTCCATGATGTTTGGGAGTTATTATTGCTTAAACATCCATTATCCAATACAACTGGCCTCAACTCTGGAGTTTCTGCAGAGGTATATGCCTTTTTGTATATTAACCTCTTAACCCCCACCTGATCAAACTACATTTTCTCCAGTTTGGTTTTACCCAAATCTAAAATTGGATAAAAGCACAACAAAGAAATCCACAAAAGCTCAACATAATAGAAACATGTATCTTTTTTCAGTTTTTGTTGCTGTTCTTTTTTCCCCAGAAGGTATTACATTTGGGTAAAATCAAACTGGAGAAAATGCAGCACAAGTGTTGATCCACAAGATCAACACTTGATTCAGACACATGGGCTGTAGTTAGAGGACCTCCATAAGTATTCAGTGAATCCTACATGTGTTCATTTTGTAATGTGGGAGGAAACATGTAAGCAGCTAGGACTTTAAGGAATAGGCCACCGTTTTTACACACTGACATATGCTCTGTCATGCAAACGGAGCACAGCAGCCTCTTCCACAGACTATATAGTTTCAAATCAGCTCCCGTTAGAAGCTCCCAAACTCCTCCACGTGTTCCCTATTTAAATACAGTTACGTGACGTGTTACACTACCAAGTATAGTAATAATACGAGGAGCACTACGTCCATGCACTAACTCCCAAGACTTCTCTCCCGCTCACTTCCGTCAATAGCAGCGTGAGCGGGAGAGAAGTCTTGGGAGTTAGTGCACGGACGTAGCGCTCATTGTGCTTCTCGTATTATTACGCCTCACAATATAGTGCCCCTTTTTATCCACTGAGAAAATCGACATGTTACATTTCTGTGTTACTGTACTTGGTAGTGTAACACGTCATGTAACTTTATTTAAATAGGGAACACGTGGAAGAGTTTGGTAGCTTCTAACGGGAGCTGATTTGTTACTATACACTCTGTGGAAGAGGCTGCGTTTGTGCTCCATTTGCATGACAGAGCACACGGACACAGACCGGACAGGTACATATCAGTCTAAGGTAAGAACATATGTCAGTATGTAAACACGGTGGCCTATTCCTTTAACCCATGACCTGTGTTTGACTGCTTAGCTCTGCACCACTGTGATGCAGAGCTAAGCAGTTTGTATTGCAGCACATTTGTATTTTAAATGTAATTTTTTTTTAAATATATTTCAGGTGTTTTTTTCTCCATCAACCCAGAGAAGGGAACCAAAGTGGAGAAAAGCAAAACCAAACGTCTTAATGTGAACCCCAGAGTCCTTACCTTGATTCAAGAACTTTCAGATCATGAGTGGTGTAATGTCTGAATATGGACTGAAATAAGTAAGGTTTGTGGGCTGCGATGGAGTTTTATATTGTTGTGATGTTCAATGTTTCAAATTTGTTCTTCAGCTCTTAAATTAAGCTTAAACCCACATGTATTTTCTGTTAAAGGAATAGTTAAGTTTTTCCTTACTGAAATGTTCTTACCTTAGGTTAGCCCAGCTGATGTGTACCTTTTTCTCTTTGTGTAATGTCACATCTGAGACATTTGAAGCTAGCGAGCTCTGCCATGTTTATTCTATTTTTAAATTCAGTGACGTGAAGTGTAGTTACACAGAATTTAAACATATTGATTTTCTAAGCGGAATAAAAATAACTTATGTTGTGAGGCGGAATAATACGAGGAGTACTTCCACACACAACGCTTCAAAGACTTCTCTCATGCTCACTTCAATCAATAAAAGGAAAAAATGGAAATTAATAACTGCTTGACCCCAGTCTGAGCTAGTCACGCTGTTTTTTTATTTCTATAGTTTATTGACTGAAGTGGGCGGGAGAGAAGTCTTTAGGAGTTGTACGCGATACAAGTGCCCCTTATATTATTCGGCCACACAACATGGGTCCTCCTTTTTATCTGCATAAAAAATCAACTTAGTTTAAATTCTAAATGGCTTGCGTAATGGCTTGGATCAGATTGCATCATACAAGCCAAAAAAGTCTTTTGTTTTAATTATTTTTCGATGGAGATAAGCATATTTGAGAATATTTTATTTGACATTAGTGTTTTACAGTGACATATTTTGACATTTGTTTAAAACGGTCTTAGTATTGACTTTTGGCACTGTAGTGTTGTCACTGAATATACAGTAAAGTTTCATTTTCATTTATTTTGTGAAATGACTCATTTAATGCAGCTTTTAGTTAAGCAATGTTGAAAGTGCAATATTTTTCAGGGAAATGTCAAAGTACATACAAAACATTAAACTTGTAAACTGTACTGAAAAAGATTGTTTAATAACAAGGTGGTAACTTATAAAAAGCATAGTAAACCTGTACATTTAGCTGAAAAAGATCGTTTTAATAATTAGGTGGTTATGTATAAAAAGCGTAGTAAACATGTACTTTTTACTGTAAAAACTAGTTTTTAATAACGGGGTGGTTTTGGTAAAATATACAGAAAAAAACCTGTTTAAATACAGTTGTATTATGTAAAATATACAGGTAATTCTGAAGGAGAATCCTCTGGCAGTCACAAGGAGATCCAATCAGGACATGTGTGAGAAGGACACAGCAAAAGAGGTACTGCTGCATTTTGTATCATAAGATTTTTGGTACAATTGTAGATTGTCATTTTACATTTTCCACGTGTTTGTAGATGGTGGAACTGCAGGAAAACCCTGGTGACCGAGAGATCCTTAAAGATTATAATTCTGTGAGATCACTAAGTCACCGCTCTCGAAGACAACTTGTCGACCTTCTCGTCAGTGACATGAGTGAAACACATGGGTATGTTGTATCCCTCAGTTATTACTCAAAAGTTCCTTCTTAAGTGGAAGGATATTTACTCAAAATAAAATGAAAATCACTTGAAAGACCTTTCACAATAATCACGTAACAATTCAGTTTCTCTCAGCACTGTTATTGATTCCCCATTGTAAGATAAATAGTACTGATCTCTTTTATAAATGACCTAGGTAGATGTCCTGTAGATTATCTCTTGGTTAGGTCCCCGTGAAAATATGTACTTGTAGATACTATTAATTTAGCCTTTTTATGTAACCATGAAGTCCCTTGACCATGAGTGTTTTTCTTTCCTTAGACAAATGCCTTCCCGAAAACAAAAAGAAAGCTATGCTCTTAGAATTATCACACTTTTTTCTTCATTGAAGGATCCATTTTCTCAAAAAGGTTATGTAAGTATTGTTAATGTATCCATGGAAATTGAATTTGGTTTATCTACACATGTTTTGTGTCGGTAATGGATATGTATAGATACCAATCATAACTGTACACTTTGTTTTCAGACTAATCAAGCCTCGTAATGAGACGGTGACCTCCTATTTGCTTAACACAATATCTGCAATACAATGTGAACAATAAGTCCACATTTCCACCATGTTGATAAAGACGACATTGTGTGTAAGTGTTTTACTGTTTCTTCCTTGTGTGACGTTACTGTGACTTGCGTTTGATTTTTATTCATATCTTTTGATTGTTTTCTAGCGGCCTGTAAGACTTATTATGAGACGGTTCGCAGGAGCCATCAATATGCCAAGCCAGAAAACTCATTGAGGGCGGATGTGGCGAAGAGTTCAGCTCAGAGTTGAGCGAGAAGAAAAAGGGTAAGACTAAACTGCATCGCACAGTAAGGCAAGGGAGGTTTATTTGTGTAGCACAATTCATACAGAAGGAAACTCAAAGTGCTGAGCAAAAGAAAGCATTAAATAATCACAGTACATTAACAAAGATAAATATAAATTCCCTCAGTTGTAGCACAGCTAAAGTGAGACAGGCCTCCTCTCTGACAATGTTTGAAACCAGGTTAAAAACAGTTCTGTTTAGCTGTGCATACAACTGAGTGATTTTATATATATCTTTTTTAATGTACTGTGATTATTTATTTTAATGCTTTCTTATTTTGCTCAGCACTTCAAGTTGCCTTGTGTATGAATTGTGCTAGACAAA